TCAGGAGTTCTGAATGGTTTGTTAACTGACAGACTCATAAATTCCTGGTTGTTTTTTATCTTTAAAATACTTAAAGTTGTTTTGTTTGTCGCTGTTCTTCTCCTGCGATCCATAAAAGTTTGTGTTGAACGAGCAGAAAAAGCAGCATCCTGTAGGTTCAGGATTCTGACTGAACTATCATGTCCTCTGTGGTCTTTGTCCAGCTTCCACGTCCAGCTCTATAACCCGGACAGCCTGCTGGCCTGCGCGCTGCCGTACCACGACACCAACCTGTTCGTCCGCGTCGTCCAGCTGCTGAAGCTCAGAGACACCTCCAGCCGCTGGAACTGGCTGCGCTGCTTGCAGGTCAGCGTCCGTCCTCCCGCTGGTTCCGCTGACTCTGACTGAGCGGATCCCTGAAAAGTGTCGATGTCTCTGCAGAAACCGGGCGTGCCGCTGTCCAGAGGGACTCTGATCACACACTGCTACTCAGACCTGAGCTTCATGGACTTCATCTGCTCCATGGTGACGCGCTCCATCCAGGTAACCTCAGAGAGCAGCAGCTTCTCCTCCTCGTTGCTTCTGGCTTCTATGTAACGGATCTCTGATCTCCTCCTCCTCAGGCTTACTCCGGACACACTGAGAGCTTCTCTCAGCTCAGAGTCATCTTCTCCTTCTACGCCTCCACCATCGTCCCCGCTCTGGACGCCGTGGACTCTGTGTCTGACTCCATCGTCGCCAAACTGCTGCCATATGTCCAGAGGGTAACCGCTCACTCACTGCAGAGGTTTCCATCCTCCTGCTCTGATCCACACTGGGAGAAATTCCCCAAACCGTTTAAATAAGTTCTGCTGAAACAGTGGAAGATGGTGGTGGCAGCATCATGCTGTGGGCTGCTCTCCGGTTTAGCTCACATTAGAAGGTAGAGGGCTAAAACTTGGATTCAGTCCGGTCCTTTAACGGCAGACTGGTCCCAAAGCAGGATGGTAACTGGAACGCCACCAGTTCTGCTGGGAGGAATGATCCCAGAATGATGCAGGCGGCGTTTCTCCTCGTGTGAATTCAGCCGACACCAGCAGACTGAACAGAACTACAGGAAGCAGATGATGAAACCAGTTGGTTCTGTTTTTGGTCTCCTCAGGGTCTGAAGTCGTCCCTGTCGGACTACAAAGCCGCCACCTACATGATGGTGTGCCAGCTGGCGGTGAAGGTGGTGATGGAGGCCAGCCTGGTCGACAGCCTGACCGTGCAGATCAGCAAGTCTCTGCTGAAAGAGCCGGTCCTGGCCAAGGAGGGTCTGGGCTGCCTGCTGGTGCTGCTCCAGAACCAGAAGGTGGAATGTGTCGGTCCCAGGTAGGCCTGAGGCGCTCCGGGGGAGGAGGGGCTCGCCCGGCGCCGCTCTGCTCTCCTCTGATCTCTGCTTTCGCTTTGTGTTCAGAGCCGTCGGCAGTCTGATCTCCATGGCGACGCTGGTTCCAACGCTGCAGGTCATGGCGGCCGGTCATGATGTCAGTCCTCTGCTGCGGTACCTGCTGCCTCACCTGGTCCAGCGTGTGTTCTACAGCAGCTCAGGTAAGAGTGGGAACATGGAGGAAGTGACGGGCCAGCCGAGCCGCCAGAGTTAACCCCTCAGTGTCTGTCTCAGGTGAGAAAGGGACGGACGGCGTGAACGTGCTGGAGGCCGTCCTGAGCTCGGTCCCTCTGACCAAAGACCTGGACGGAACCGTGGCCCGGTAAGCCTCAGCCTCCTTCGTCTGGAAGACTTACAACTTTTATTCTCATTTTCATGTTCATGTGCATATAGGCCTATGCTCTCATTCATCCCCTGCACTGCACATTTTATTTACTTTTTATTTTTCTGATACATGCATTAGGAAATGAAAGGACCTCCTAAAGGTGAAAATAAACATAGCTGCACAGATGATCAGGTATCCACCTTACTTTTATCTTTTTGGATATTTTATGTGTTTGTTCTTTTATTGTTTATCTGTGAAATGTGAACGTGTGTGAAAGGTGCACTACTACTGCACAAAAGTTTCCCATACTGGGACAAATAAAAGCTACTGAACTGAACTGAATATTCACATACAAGATTTCCTTTAGTGCAGCTTTCATAACAAAGTGCAGCAGTGATCAAATTCTGTAAAAATTCCAAAAATGATCAAATGTAAACATGATGCAGAAAAAAATGCATTGATATGGAAGTTCAGAGCATTAATATATATGGTGCAAATATGCAGTGTTCTGGTTTGGTGTTTAAGGCCTGGTTCTCCTCCTGCAGCAGTGAGATTGATGCAGATATTTTTGATTTATGCTCGATATTGAAGCGTGGTCTGCCCTGTGTTATTCCACGCTGCAATGCAAGGTGGACTATTAGGAACTGGCTAGGATTGTGGGTTTGACGAGGTTTTTCGCCGTCTACAACCCCTCTTCCAACGCTGGACGATGCACAGTTCGTCCGTGTGTGTTCCCCAAAGACTGGCCGTAGCGCTGAGCTACAAACTAGCGTCCTGGGATAGTGTCAGAGGTGTTCCAGGTGTTGTGGACGCCGCTACAGCCAGATATTCTGCCATAACCCACATCAGCCATGTGGGAAAACGTCTCGGCTGACTACTGGAGATTGTGGAACTTCCTAAATTGAATTGAATTGACCAATCAGAGGCCTCGTTTCTTCGGTCACCTACAATTTTGGGGAGGTGCACCAGAGTGTCTGTGGAAACCTGAGTAAAGTTGGCCCCCCCACCTTCTTCAAATCAGACAAATTAGTGTCAAACGTTTGTGCAGCTATCATTTTAAAGATATAAAGAAATGCCCCCCCCCCCACCTTAATGATATTATTAATATCATTGAAATGATAGCAGTACAAATGTAAAATTTTAGAATAAATTTTAAATATATA